AGGCAGAGTTATAGTAGCTCTTCCAGAGCCTTCAATTAATTTACTACTACCAGAAATTGTAGTAACATCTGCCTTACACATATTTAAATGAGAGAAATATTTCTTCTCTTTGAATATTGTATGTGTCGTACATGAATCAATTAAACAAATATTTTTACAATTGAACTTTGATCCAAGTTTGCTTTGTGGAATATCCATATTTGCTTAATCTTCTCAAAGAGCTTCTTGAGACGGTAGAGTCTCGTGCTGATAACGTGTAATAAAACAATAAAAGTAGAAGAACAATATTGTAGAGAAAGAGAGAGAGGAAATTCTTATTGAATTTTGGGATGATTTACAATGGGGTAAGACCCCTCTATTTATAGGGGGGAAAATGACTTAGCCACAAAGTAAAACTCTCTACAAGATAGACATTCACTCTAAATAGAATTCTATTCATAACAATAAGTAAAATTTCAGCTAATTTTGACGTTCTAAAAGTTAGGAAAATATTAATGATTATTTTGAGTGTAAAATTAATTTTCTTAATTTCTTTTTATACTTCTTATATTTGTCGAAGGATATCCAACAATGGAAATATAACTTTTCTTTGGATGGAAAATTACTGACGTTAGGTTTAATAATTAATGTGTTACATGTTGCCAAATATTATGACTTTTTACATATATACTTCAAAAGAGGATTAAGGAAAGATATAATAAGAAAAATCTTAGGTGATTTTAAAGTCCTAAAAAAATTAGGAGAAATAATGAAATGACTAATTTGTCTTGTATGAAATCAAGTTTTAGAGGGTAAAAAAAGCGAATGACATTTCGCTAAGGGTCTTCGTGCTTTTAATATAGTACTAGTCTCTATGCTCGTGCGTTGCACGAATACTTTATGTCGAATATAATACGTATATCAAAAATAATAACTTTCAAATGCATAAATATTAGTAATTTTAATGTTTTCACATAATCAAAGTCACAAAGTTATATATTAAAGTTGTACAACCAATCAAAGTACGCAACATATATAATAGTAATAATTTTTGCTATGCAGTAAATTCTTTTGTTAACCTTAATGATTCAGGTATATGAATGTAATATATCAAGAAATACATTAATGACGGAGAAAAAAAGAAAGATAAAGTTTTCCATGGCAATATTTTTTGGGCAGATGCCCTATTAACATGTCTCTTTTTTTATTCTACAACATCATTTTATTATGAAGTATATGAGTATGCCATTTGAGACTCAACACCGGCTTTTTAAAATACCCTTTTTCAATTTTTACAAAATTTTATTTCTAATAAATTCTTAACCGCACAAGTATTTGAAAAATATTTATTTGATTATAGAAATGATATAATCTATCTATACTATATTAAAAGTACGAAGGCCTTTAACAAAATATCGTTCGCCATTTTTACCCCTTAAATATAAATTTCACATTGAACAAAATCGTCATTTAAATTTTCTCCTAATATTTAGGAGTTTTAGATCGACCAAATTTAATGCATTAAATCATTCCTTATTGAATTAGGTAAGAAGTCATAATATTTAGAACTTTAAAATCAATTAAAAATTTACCTTGTATTCTATAAACGGGAACAAATAAATATAGCATTATTCCCAATAAAATTGGCACCTTAGGAAGATTCTATCGGTTTTGAGGATTGATGGTGAGCAAAGAAAGAATTAAAGGTCTTCAAGCATGTCTTTACTCAACTGTATGACTTTACCAACTTTTGTAATGGAATGTAGTTGGACTCTTTTGGCTTGTGATTACTTTTTTCATATGAAGACTTTCGTTAACATGGCTAGCTATATACACGATGAAAGAACAAAAAGAAAAGGATTTCATGAGAACCAATTATCCACAAGTCAGGTCCGTTTTATTTTCAGTTTAACTTTTTAATCTAAAATTAATTATTTAATCTTCCACAATTATTCTTAAATATTTTTCGGACAGAGAATTGGATGAGGCTAATATCAAATTTAAAAAGTATTTATACAACGTACACATTCATTGCTACAAAGAAATTATGAAATTCAGTTTTGGTTTTTATTATTTGGACTTTTATGAGCACGCTTTATAGAATTAAAATTTAAATATAACAAATTAAAACATTGAAAAAAATTTGGAGAAATATACACGAAAATTATTTTTGTACTCATAAAAATATGAGAATATAAATTTTCTTTTTGAATCAAGTCGGACTTACTTTTAAAAAGTTTCAATTAAAATGAGAACTGATTATAGACACACACAAAAACTAAAACATTACATTCATGAGAATTTGTTGAAAGAATAAATTCTAATTTTAATTTTAACATGAATTCTATATTTTCACTCCTTAGGATAGTATTAACACAATAGTTGGATTCTATTTTTGCAGTAGTGAGTTATTCTTTGCTAATTCGTTAGAAACAATTCCTATAGTATTTCTTATTGATTAAAGAAAAGAAAATAACATGCATTTTACTTGCGAAAAAAAAGAGATAGACGTCTTCTATAAGTTTGGTGACCTTGTTTGTATCTTTTAAAATGAATATAAGAATATATAGCTTTCGATTTTTTTTTTTTTTAGAAAACTCCTATTTTCAAAGTTAAATGGTATTATTGAAACTAAAAAAGATGCATGAAATTTGTGAATTGAAGTAATGAAATTATAAAATTAAAATAAATTTTATGTCGAATATATTGATTGAGATGACTAAAGACTTCTATGGAATAAATTTTTGTTCTTTTATTGAGTTAGCTAAATAGAATCAACAATCATCATTTATCAAGAACTTACAATTTTTTTACCTCTATTTTATAGTTCAAGTAGTATAATATTTATCTAAGTTTTTAATATTTTATATTCATAGAGATAGAGTACACGTGCAACGCGCGTACACTAAGACTAGTATTACATAAAAATTACAAAAGTATACTTCCTCGTACCTGAAATGGTTCATTCAAATTTATAATCAAAAAGCACGAGAGAGTCATCTTGTTATTTCAAGAGCTTGCACAAAGATATTAATATAAAAAAATATATAACTTCACTACTAATTAGTTTGCTTTACAATCACCTTATCTTATAAAGAGAATTTTTTCTTCAGAATACATGTTTTAGCTAGACCACTTTAAAATAGTGAAAATTATACTTAATTATTTATGCTGAAAAGAGCGGAAAAATAACATGGATAGAGTAAGTTTGCGTGTATTAGGTTTACTGAATCTGAATTTCCTTCGTAATTTGACTTGAGCATCTTGGCTCATGTATAGTAGTTTTTCTTCTGTCAGTGTTTGATTTGGTCTCAACAATTTATCATATTAAGGATTTTATTAGGACTTTGAATTCTATAAATGATGTGATATTTGACTTGAGATATCCGCGACCCGACCAGCACAAGTATTAAAAGTTCTAATATTTGTTATACTTTGCTCTAAAGTAAGCCCTAGTTAGCAGTAAAACAATCTTTTCATTATCTTTTTCTGAAAAGAAAACATCCACCAATAATGATAACTAATATTTATTGATAGAGAAAATAAAGAGGGTATTTATTAATCTGTTTTGATCCCTACAAAATCCTCCTAATTACAGAGATCAATAACAATTACGATGATTATTATTTGATGGAATAGATGTGCATAAGAATGTAGCGATGCTTCGCGTACTCACTGCTAATTGGGGCTTACTTTAGAGCAAAGTGTAAGTTACACTGTATAGCAAACTATTGGAACTCTTAATTTTAAGAATAGGTTAGCCGGATGGAAAACTAATTTGTCAATCAGGCCAGAAAATTCTGGGCATAATTATAGTGGCAACATGGCTCAATTATCCTATGATGTAATTAGTTGTCATGATGATAATTTCAATAGGATGACTATGACAACTGTAAATAGTAGTAATAACTTATGGCTTGGTTCTAGAACTACGACTTGTAATAGGGAGCCAGTTAGGCTCCAACTCTCTGTACGTATTCACTAATTAGCAATATATGTTATCTTTCTGACCAAAAAAATAAATAAATATTGGAACTCTTATGACATCAGATAACCAAAAAAAAAAAAAAGTAAGAAACCTATATAAAAACTTCAATGCAAACCTCAAAGCTCCATAGTCAAAGTTAAACACCATAGATTTTCATCACTCATCTACAATTCAAGCAATTAAATATTTAGGGTAGTAAATACTTGCCTTGGGATCTTAATAAAAGACGTGTTGGAGCTGGAGATTGACAGCTTTTCATGCAAATATATGACACATAATAAATTTCAGAAATTGACATTGTAGGCAATCTCAGTGACGAAGGAATATTTTTGTAGGATTGGTAGGCTACGTTCAACACAAGATGGCCAAAAGAGTTTTACCCAAAATCAACTTTGTAGGCTTGGTGTATGTGTAGTTTAAATCGAAAATAGTTCAGCTTTAGATAATTTATAATTATATTTTTAAATTATATAAATATTTAAGGCTATAAAAATCAATTAATATTTGGGGGATATTTTAGTCGTTCAATATTTAACAAAATTATTGGTGCTTTTATAATAATATAGATAAATATAGATAGATATACTAGTTGTACATCAAGTGAATCTTTAAATTTATTATTATAATTGGATACTCAAAAATTACTTTTTCAAATAGTGATTATACACAAATTGATTTTCTAATGGAGTACTAAAATATGTTTTCTAATGATTTGGCAAACCCAACGGCTACTCTACCAAAATTATGCGGAGTTTGTTACCAAAATCAAACACTAGTGTATTACTAATTTTTGTATATTTAATTTTACCGGAAATTTATGCATTATTTATGTAGGGTTGAAGATGGAATAAAAATATGTATCTGATGAATATGTGGATCCGAGTATCTAATAAAAATAAATCATCATCAAGCAATCCCTACATAAAAATTCATATATTATAAATTACTGCATAACAGTCACTCAATTACTATTCTTTATTGCATATTGATCTCTGCATTCCAATTCAATTGCAATTCACTCTAATTTATAAAATGATATTCAAACTTGCATTCCAGTTCAATTACAATTTATTCATTTGATATAAATATTCGGCGTCGATAAATTTTTATCGTCAAATCACAATACAATACATTAACATGCATGTGCACTGATTAATTACGACACTATATATTCTGGTACCTTTTGATCTTCTACATTAGCTTTATCAGGTAACAAATAACAATCCATATTACAACTTTAACAAAAGGCAAGGCTGACAATTTGTTTGAGATGCTGGCACTGGGACAAGGAGTATAATTATTTATAGTTTCATCCCAGTATTTGATACAATCAAATGTAACTTTCAATGGTTTATCAGAACCAACAAACAAAACCCTTTCGTTACCTTCAACAAGTATTCCAATATCTCCACAAAATGGTCTACTACATGTCTCACAAACTCCAGGACAATACACAAGTTTGTAAGCATCCTCGTACTTGTCAATCTTGAACCAGTTGCTTAATGTTTCACGCCCTGGATTTCCTTCTACTCCACCAACTGTCACTAAATAACGTTGCGGAATTAATTCAGTGTTAATTCTCCATACGTTAGACGAATTAGATAATGTTATCTCTGACGTAAACTTGATGTTCAGATCAGTTGATATTTTGATGGTATTTTCGTTCGAGTTTGCTGGTGAAAATTGAGTGCTAATACTGATGATAGATTCATCGGCATGTTGGCTTACGACTAGCGGGTTGGTTCGGTTCCTAATAGATGCAACCGTAATTCCACCGCCGTTGCCCCGACCAGCCGGAATGATGCGATAATACCCTCCTTTTCGGACATCTTTACCGGAAACGTCGAGCACATCTTGAGCTTTTACGAGGCAAAATAAGCTTGTTGACAATGCAACAAGTATTAAATGTACCATGAATAATCGTCGTCTAACGTTAACTTCCATTTTCATTGTGTTTGTACGGATTAGTTTGTATAGAATGAATTACTTGTCAACGGATAAAATAGGCTTATTTATAGTACTACGATTAGGTTTGAATATCTTACTAGGAGATAACAGAAGATTATTAATTAGTAGTATGATATATCATTTGAATATTGTACTAGTAGTAGCTTGCAAGCAAGATGGAATTGACTATCAAATATTTCTAGCCATTAATTGGGCCCTGGTAAAACCGTATTAAAAATTATTGAATTATTGACCTTTTTTCTGTGTAATATAATATATGTGCGCCTTCTGTTTTACTTATCAAAAATAGTGGGGAAGCTAACTACTATAGTATATGCTAGTATAATCTTTGCACGTTTTGTACATATATATCTGAATTGTGTTAGCAATTTCAAAGGATGAACTATATTTTCACAAATCCTTAAAAGAAACTCACGAATAGACGAGTAAGAGAGGACGGTCGAATATTATATTTTACGTATATATATTAAATCTTGAATATCGTTAACCAAATTTTTGACTTTATTGGTAAAATAAGTATATATACTTCCTGCATATATAATATAGGATAAAACTTGGGATTATGCAATCTCTTTGACAAATCAAACGGAACAGTGACCTATTTTAGTACATAACACGCAACTTTGATTAGCTTGATAGAACGATCGCCTATTAATATTAGATAGTGAATCCGTGCTTCACGCTACACGATATTGTTTTTCTTTTCCTGGTTAAGTTTGTTAAAAGAAATGACTATAACCTAATTCGTCCAACTTGACATAATAATCTGCAAGTTGCATAATTGTGCCATACATATCAAGTGTTCTTTAGATGTAAGGTTGTGTCCAGTGAATTTATGGTGATACCAAAACATAAATCAAAAAATATATTGTTATAAGTAAAATATTTTCTCATTTTATTAGCAAATTACAAATATGTACTTTTTAATTTCAAGGAAGGAATTGAAAATTTCTAAATAGAAATGTTTAAACCATCAATTGAAGAATTGTAACGATCCGATCGGTCGTTCCGAGAGTTTTAGCCCCGTTTCTCCCATTTCTGCTTCATTTTTTGTGGTTCAGCTCTTTTATGCTGTGTTGAGTTGGTTGGCTCGGTTCGGAAGGATTGTAGAGAGAAATGAGACACTTAATCTCTTAAGTTGATTATAAAGTTGGAAAAAGTCAACCGAAAATTGACTTGTGAGTAAATGATCTCGGAACTTAGTTTATATGGTTCAGATAGCTTCGTGAAGTGATTTGGGACTTAGGAGCGTAATCGGAATGTATTTTGGAGGTCCGGGGTAGATTTAGGCTTGAATTGGTAAAATTGGAATTTTTGCGTTTTTCGGTTGGTAGTGAAAATTTTGATATAGGGTCGGGATGGAATTCCGGAAAATGGAGTAGGCCCGTTGTGTCATTTGGGACGTGTGTGCAAAATTTCAGGTCATTCGGATAAGGTTTGACAAACTTTTTGATCGAAAACGGAATTTGGATGTTTTGATGTTGTTTTGAGTGTTCCGAAGGTTGGAACAAGTTTGAATGATGTTATGGGATATGTTGGCATATTTGGTTGAGGTCCCGAGGACCTCGGGTGAGTATCGAGTGGTTAGCGAATCAAATTCTTGTTTTGGAAAGTTGCTGATTTTCTGATTTTTGTTGCAGAAGAATTTGTTCTCCGCATTCGCGAAGATAGTCCCGCGTTCGCGAAAAAGAGCTGGGCCTAGAGGAGAAAGTATTCTTCGCGTTCGCGAGTCTGGGTCACGTTCCCGTAAGTTTGAATTCCAGTGAATCGCGAACGTGTGAGAGGAGTCGCGTTCGCGTAGGGTAATTGGACCAGCTGGGACCCCAGGAGTTTTGTGCTTCGCGTTCGCATAGGTAAGGTCGCGTTTGCGAAGGCTTGGATAGTTGAAGCTTCGCGTTCGCGAGTCTGGGTCACGTTCCCGTAAGTTTGAATTCCAGTGAATCGCGAACGTGTGAGAGGAGTCGCGTTCGCGTAGGGTAATTGGACCAGCTGGGACCCCAGGAGTTTTGTGCTTCGCGTTCGCATAGGTAAGGTCGCGTTTGCGAAGGCTTGGATAGTTGAAGCTTCGCGTTCGCGAGTCTGGGTCACGTTCCCGTAAGTTTGAATTCCAGTGAATCGCGAACGTGTGAGAGGAGTCGCGTTCGCGTAGGGTAATTGGACCAGCTGGGACCCCAGGAGTTTTGTGCTTCGCGTTCGCATAGGTAAGGTCGCGTTTGCGAAGGCTTGGATAGTTGAAGCTTCGCGTTCGCGAGTCTGGGTCACGTTCCCGTAAGTTTGAATTCCAGTGAATCGCGAACGTGTGAGAGGAGTCGCGTTCGCGTAGGGTAATTGGACCAGCTGGGACCCCAGGAGTTTTGTGCTTCGCGTTCGCATAGGTAAGGTCGCGTTTGCGAAGGCTTGGATAGTTGAAGCTTCGCGTTCGCGTGGAGGATGCCGCGTTCGCGAAGGGGGAATAATTGGTCAGTGGAATTTTGTGCTCCGCGAACGCGAGGGAGCTACCGCGTTCGCAAAGAAGGAATTTATCCCTGGGCAGAATGTTTAGATAGTTGCCTTCGCGATTTTTAGTCTATTTTCCACCATTGTTGAGTGGTTTTGAAGTTTTGTGAGAGGGATTGAAGAGGGAATCGAAGGGAAACACTTGGAGGTAAGATTTTTGAACTAAATACTCGATTCTATGATAATTTCTAACTAATTGGACATGGAATTAGTGGGATTTAAAGCCTAAAATTGGGGAATTAGGGCTTGAAATTGGAGAGTGTAAATTGGGGATTTGAGGGACCATTTGAGTTTCGATTTTGATGTTCTTGGTATGTACGTACTCGTGGGAGGATAAGGATTCTATTGATGTAATTTTTATCGGATTTCGAGATGTGGGCTCAGGGTTCAGGTTTGACAAATTTCGGGATTTTTAATGTAATTTGATTATTTTCGCGTGAGCTTCGTTCCCTTAGCATATATTGATGTTATGATTCTGATTTTTGATAGATTTGACACGAGTTGAGGCCGAGTCGAGGGGCAAAGGCATCGTGAGCTAGAGTTTGGACCGGATTGAGGTAAGTAATGATTGTAAATGTTGTCCTGAGGGTATAAAACCCCAGATATCACATCGTTGTACTACTTTGAGGTGACGCACACGTTAGATGACGAGCGTGGGGTCGTGCACCGTTGGGGATTTTAACTTGGTACACCCCGTACGACTATTAAGTCGCGCATTTCATTGAAAACTGTTTGATATCATTGTGTTTGGGAAAATATTACTATGTTTTGGGCTGAATGCCATATTTGGGCCTCGTACCAACTGTTTTGGACCCTTAGGGGCTTTTACTACTATTCCTCACTATTTTGACTTATTATCTGTACTCAATCATGCTGTATTTTACTGATTTCATAACTCAACCATATTTACTCTGTTTTGATACTTTAAATGATATTTTGGGCTTAGCTTCCTTTTTACTATTGCCCGAGGGGCTTGAGAGATTTCTGACTGAGTGAGGCTGAGGGCCTGTGTTGTAAAGATACTATGGGATCAGGCTGCACACCGCAACAGGTTCTTACTGATCCATGGTATTGTGAGGCCGAGGGCCTGATTTATTATGCCACGAGGTGGCTTGTTATAGCGTTTGGGCTGTAGGAGCCCCTCCAGAGTCTGAACACCCCTAGTGAGCTCGGGTACCCAGTGTGATTGTTGTGATGTAGCCCTAGGGGCTGTTGTTGATTTATGTTGTTGCCCGAGGGGCTCTTCTTGATCTATGTTTTGCCCGAGGAGTTGATTACGTTTCTATCCTTTTTCTCAATATTTTCATCACTCATTTGAAACTATTGAAAGATGTTTTAAAATAAGGAAAAGTTTTACTGAAATTGAGTTGTTTTACGAGAAAGATGATTTCTGTATTGTTTTGAGCAATGTACTGTATTTTTTGTAGTGTTGTGACGTGAAATTATGTGTTTCTTACTGCTCAGCTTTTATTTACTTTTATTACTTTCTGCGTTGGCGTATTCACATTACTCCCTGCACCTTGTGTGTAGATCCAGGAGTTATGGGTCGCGATACTGAGCATTGATTGTCCATTCAACAGGATTTCGGAGTCGACAAGGCAACGACATGGCGTTTCCAGCCATGTTCTTCTCCCTCTTACTTTCCCTAGCTTTATTTAGTATGGTCTTCCAGTCTTGTTTAGACTTTATTGTATTGAGACAGAGATTTAGTTGCTCATGACTTGTGATACCCCAATGTCGGGCTTGTGTATCTATTCCGCATTGGTCATTTAGACTTATATTATGAGATTTCTTATTAATTAATGGCTTAAAATGACTTTTATAGAATAATGGTTTGATTTGGGAATTGTGTCGGCTGACCTAGTTTTACGATAGGCGCCATCACGACCGGGTCGATTTTAGGGTCGTGACAAGTTGGATCAGAGCCTAGGTTACATAGGTCTCACTAGTCATGGGCAGGTTTAGTAGAGTCTCGCGGATCGGTACGGAGACGTCTGTACTTATCTTTGAGAGGCTGCAGAACCTTTAGGAAATCCTACATTCTTGAAATTCTTATCGTGCGTCATTGATTCAGCTTGAAATGTAACTCTTTGAATTTCCTTCCACGCGTTCGTATGCGCGCATGAGTGCTCAGTATCAGCTGTGCATCAACGACTTGTGATTCTCTAATCGAGAGGCAAGATGTGATTTTGGTGTGTTGATGTTGGGCCAGTCTGGAGGACTTGAGGCTGGACTTTGCTTGTAGCTTGAGCACTAAGTGGTTGATTGTGTGAGTACGTGCTTTTGGATTTATAGGTATGATATGTCCTTATTAGTGGGAGTGATGACTGGTAGCTAGGTGATGAGTATGTTGTGACTGCGAGATGTGTTCATATGATTTGAATGTGACGAGATAGGTCTGTTTGAGGGTAGAAAGGACTATCCGGTGCTTGATTTCCATCGTGATTTGATGTATAGCCCGAGTTGTAGGTGCGTTGAAGGATCCTTTCATGTTGTCTAGTTGGGGAGTGAAGCAGATTTCATGTTATGAGTTCA